GATAGATAGATAGATAGATAGATAGATAGATAGATAGATAGATAGATAGATAGATAGATAGATAGATAGATAGATAGAATGATATCAAATGCTGTTGAAGAAACCTACTGATGCCAGCTTAGTTGTTCCTGAAAGTTGTAAGATTTCAAATCTTAAGTAGAAATAGGGTGTGCATATATTGGGTGGAGGGCTGAGACAATCAGTGTATCCATACGTGTCATATAAAATAGTAGAAAACAACTAGTACTCATAATGAAGAAAGACAGTCTCTAATCCTTACCTTTTGTATAGTGGTGGTATTAGTACTGCAACGGTTTTTGTGAATCGGTAGAACTTGAGAAACCCCAATCAACATTCCATTTCTTGTTTCAACAAATGGACCATCCAAAAGAATTCTGTTTACATATGTCTGCAATTTAAAAAGGAGGATGCAAAATGAAGTATGGCTCAAAGCATAATTATCCAGAGAGCATTATAAAATGTTCCTCAGCCCACATAGCATTCTCAGTGAAGCCCAATCAAAACCAATGAACTTAACTGTTGGTTTTTAATCTGTGTATGCCAATTTACAAAACAAAACTCTGGGATCTTTCAATTTATGTTACAGAGGTAATTGGATAAGTTTCATATATACAGTAAATAAAATATTTAAAACAAATACATAAAACATTTTAGGATTGCAGCCATAATATGCACCCAAATTTACTATTTGAAAAGTATAGTTAATATTTGATATTTTAGATGTTCCTTGTTAAACCACACACTGTAGAAGTGAAGTGTAATTTGTAGCGCATTCTCACCTTATTGAGTCTGTTAGAAAACATGAGCCAATTGGAAAATCCTAACATTGTGCTTCTGTGCACTCCATTCTTCAGGTCTTTCAAAAACAGCTTATCCCCAATTACAACATGATACTGCATGGTGTCGTTATCCTGGAATCCACAAAAAAACCCAATATTCAAAAACAAGTATTAGAATCAACAAGGTAACAGCAAGCGGAATAGAAACTTTAAAGAGAAGATGCATAGTAATAAGCCATTCTTCTACAATTTATCCGTCCAAATATCTTGGTCACAATCTTCAGAAGAATCATTTTCTTTACTGAAATGACTGAACTGCAGATTGGCCTTTAACAAGGGTGTTGCTTTGCCATACTCAACCATATCAAGTTCATCTTGATTAGCGGAAGAAAAATATTGCCATTGCAAGCCTCAGAAATAACAACATTCTTATATGAAGAGTTCTAGAATCTAGAAAAAAGTTCAGCACATTGCCAAAGCCACTCAGGGAAATTAAGAAGTAGAAATGCTAATTTAGTTTCATCGTTATACCTAGAACATACTGATACCCAAAGGACACCAATCTTAAACCAAGTCCTTAACCGATATATAAGAGCTATATTTTATTAAATGATGGTGATAATTGAAAATCTCTGTTAATTTAATAATATAACTATAAATGAATACATTTATAGTTATATTATTAAATTAACAGAGATTTTCAATTATGTTTACATTATATAATTACAACAACCATATCTCATTTTTCAGTAGAAAGCAACTGGAGATATATCAGAGTTTCTTGCATTTCTGTGCATATGGCAATTCAGAGTTAACCTGTGAATTGACTGTCAGTCTCTTATTTGAGTCTTCTTGGGAACACAACAGTTGTTGGCTATTATATGTAATAATAATTAATTTTAATTAATTTAAAATTAATTAAATACCCTCCTCTAGGAGCTTTGTAGTGCATGAAGCAGCCAACAACAGTTAATTCCAAATGTGTTATCTCAAGATAGAATCCAAATTCTTATTTATTGATATGTTGTTTCCCACAAATAAACAAAGAACTGTGCAATCATGTACACATTGAATGAAAAATTAAGTCTCATTGAGTTAGGGGAGCTTACCTCTACATGCGTGCCATTAAGATTATTTCTTTAAAGAAGTAAACTCTTACCAGTTGTGTAATATTTGATGCTTGGCAATATTTCTCAATTGAATTATTCCCTGGGACAAAAATAGTATATTTTGCTGATGACTCGATTTTGTTCACCAACTGATATCTCTGAAAGTTTAAAAAAACACAATCAGCAAACCAATCAACTTAATGAGGACTGCAGTTGATAGCTAAAACAAAAAAAAAACCATGTTAACATTGTTTTTAATAAAGAGGGTATGCATAAGCGAAGGGGGCATCCCTAAGAGCATCATCGTGCCTACTGTCCCTGTCGTACTGTCCCCATTTACTTGTACTTATTCCTTGTTCATGTCCATGTTTATACTTATACATGTTCAACAAATTAAACAAACAAACAAACAAACAAATAAATAAAAGTTTGCCAATTCCACACCTAGAAAACAGCAACAACGAAAAATTAATATTAAGAATTCAGACTGAAAAAAATCCACTGTGTGTTTGTATCAGCAACAAACCTTTGGTTGCTTTGAATAGCAAGCTATTTTGGATAGTAAGCTATTTTGGATAGCCAGATGAGCTATCCAAAAATATAAAATTAATAATAAATGATTTAATTTCTCTAATTGTTTGTGTCAGCCTCTGCTTCGCTTGCTTACTATCAGCTGCCATAGAAACGGGGAGGGTGGGGGGCATGGTATTTGGGATGGGAATTATATGGTACTGGAGGAGATTTGGAAAAGGGAGTTTTGTTTTTACCATCTTCTGCGCATGCTGGTGGCCGGTGTTTGAGTCTGGTCAAGGCCAACCATCTCGCATACCAACCTGATGATGCCTTTTGAAGATGCAACCCACATGACACCTTAGGGAGTTGCAGATTGGACACTGGGGTGGGGTCGTTGGAGGGAGGGGACTGGGTAATCATTTGATATGTATTTGTTCACGCCTTTTTGGCTCAGATCTTGCTTTTTTTCGCTGCTATCTTTTCATAACTAGTAAAAGTCTCTTAATTTCCACGAACAATGGAATTGAGAGTTTTCTTTCTTGGTTATTGATGGAGGCTTGCCTGACAGTTTGATTTGGGGCTGAATCCTTCGCACCCAGCTATTACAGTGTGTGAATCAATATATAAACTTAGTTTTTGTCTTCTATTATATCACCTATTAAGATGATCTCCCTTTAGCCCAGGGCTGTTAAACTCCTGACCCATGGGCCAGATGTGTGATGTCTGGCCATGTCCATGCCCAGTTTAGCAAGGGGGGGGGGAGTCCCAATACGTCACATGATGCCACCATGATGACATGAGTTTGACACCCCTGCTCTAGCCCATTGTAAAAGAATTATTTAAGAAATATGGGGCAATATCTTTCGGCTGTAAGATAAAGAGCCATGGAATGATCCATGTTTGGCATTACAAGACAAGATAGAAAGACCTGCATACGATATAAACAAGAGAATAAAATAATTGAAAGAAGAAATAAGCTTGTCACATAACAAGAAGAACTGATGACATGTAGAGCAATGCAGTCACAGAATGGATCACACTTGACAAAAAGCACAAAAGGTCCACAAAAGAGACCTAAAACAAGTTGGATCATGAACATCAGCAAGTATTGCAGCTCCAACTGGCAGAAGAAAGCTCAGAACTGCATTGGTTGGAAACATGCGGAAAAGGCCTTCGTCTGCCAATGGATAGACAATGCCTAAAATGATGATGAAGATGATGGTCTTTCTGCTGAGGACTTTACCTCCAATAGCTCTTTGAACCTCCAGAAAGAGGGCACAGAGTTAAGCTGCTCCTGCAGACCAGGTGGGAGCTTGACAAATATTGGTACCAGAACCTGATCAAAAGAAAAGTGAAAAGAGGATGACCAATTACCTGACTTTTTCATCTCATAGTTATAAATATAAAAACCGAGGTGGCACAGTGGTTAGGGTGCAGTACTGCAGGCCACTTCAGCTGACTGTTATCTGCAGTTCAGCGGTTCAAATCTCACCGGCTCAAGGTTGACTCAGCCTTCCATCCTTCCGAGGTGGGTGAAATGAGGACCCAGACTGTGGGGGTGATATGCTAACTCTGTAAACCGCTTAGAGAGGGCTGAAAGCCCTATGAAGCGGTATATAAGTCTAACTGCTATTGCTATTGCTATAAATAATAGCATAAATAGGGTGCTATTGAGAGGAGATTCTTCTAAATACTTTGATGACATTGTTGTTTCTGTTTAGTGGAAGACAAATAAATGAGATATGCTTAACTCATATCTCATAAATCCCGCTACCCCCCCCCCGAACAACAAAAAAAAAACAGGTCAATCTAATCAACCTACCTTATTGATGAGATAAATACTGCCGTTAATAACAGGAAGGTCCCACATAATGCTGGCATTCTGAATAGTTATTTCCTGAAAATCAAATATTTGCAGATATTAATTCTGAATTATTACTATTTTTTATTTAGGAAAATTTATATGGCCATCCAACTCACTCGCTCTGAGCAGCTTACAACATTGTAAAATCAATAGAAAAATAATAAAACATCCCCCTCCCCAAGTGATAACAATTAAACAAGCCATTTGATGGGCTCCAGCCACTCTGGATGGGTTGAGCTCATTGGCAACACCAGGTCTTTCAGGCCTTGCAAAAGATTGTCAAAGTTCAAGACAAAGTTATCTCTGATGGGATGATGTTCCATAGGGAAAGAACTATCATGAAAAAGGCTCTTCTTAGTCCCCCTAGATCAAACTCGCAGTGTCATATTGCCGTCACATAAGTATAAGTATAAGTATAATCTTTATTGTCACTGTACTTAAATACAATGAAATTGGTTTTAACCTCACTGGTGCAAAATTATAACAGAAATGAAAAAAGAAAGAAAAAGAAGAAAAACTGGCCTGTGCATGGAGTGATTGTGGTTGTATTTAAAAGTTTCACGGACAGAACTATCTTTAAACCTGTTTGTTCGGCTGTCTATACTTTGATGTCTTCTGCCTGATGGTAGAAGTGCAAAGAGACACTGACCAGGGAGTGAATCATCTCTGAGTATCTTCCTTACTCTGCTAAAGCAGCGAGATCTGGCAATGTCATCCAGTGGTGTCAGAGGGCAACCAATGATTTCTTGTGCCAAATTGATCACTCTCTGTAGTGCTTTCCTGTCCGTAGCTGTTAAAGCATCATGTGACTCCCCCCCTTCGCTAAACTGGGGGTGGGCGTGGCCAGCACATGATGCATTTGGCCCGCAGTCTGAAAAAATGACACCGCTGCCCTAGATGGACCTTCTTAGGGAAGGAGACTTTGGCATTCTCTGCCCTTCCACTCTGGTGGGTCAAGTAGATGTGGTCAGGAAAAGATGGTCCTTCAAATTAGTCCCATTAAAATTAAAGTATAACCATTCCTATTACATTTACATCAAAACACTTTTGTGCTCTAATTGGGGTACAGGGCTGACTGGGAAACCTTAATGTAGGATCACTTCTTAGGATTGAATATATCTTTTCTAATTTGCCATCTTTTGACTTTGTCAAGCTGCAGTGGCTCTAATTATGGGCTATGCATTCTAGCCCATCTGGAGAACAACAGGATGGGAAAGGTTTATCAAAATGTTCCATTTTAATCTTGAGGGTCACTACAGGTCTTTGTACACACGGTATGATTAACATTTCTCAAATAAAAAACATGAGCCTGCAGATTTCCATTGGTTCTACATTCCTTGGGGCACAATTTCTTTAGTTTAAAAGTGGTGTCAGCACATTTCAATAATATATCTCTAATTTTGCTATTGGAAATAATGTGTTTAGCCTACAAGCTTACCTTATTATTGCTCTTTATTTCCCACTTGACGTCTGGATTGAGAGTGGGGAGTTCTTGGCCAACATATGTCTTGAGTTGCTCAATTGTGAAGGAACCCTGGAGGATATGAGACCTACGGTAGGAAAAAAATATTAACAAAACTACAATCGGCTGGTTAAAGCCAAGAGAACATCTTCACTTAGGAAAAAAAGCATGACATCTTTCAAATGTGTCAGGAGAGTCTATCAAAAGGACAATTTATCAGCCATCCTATCTATGGAGTTTCTCAGTCATCCAGGTCATGGCTGTCTCAAAGATAACCAAAAGCAATCAAAGATGATTTTCAAAAGGCAACTGGACTTCCTTTGTTTTCCCTTGGAGACATTTTGCTCTGATAGCGTGATCAAAACTATTTTAAAGGGTTTTTTTTTTACTCACAAAATTAGGCAAAGCTTTGATCAACTTTGCCTTTCTTAACCACACTTTGCAGGCAGCCTTGTTGGTGTGAGATTAGTCCAAAATTTAGAATGTATATATTAGCACATGGTATCAATGCCTGCTAATAGCTGTGCTGTGTATAATTTATTTTTGGGAATATTTTTCATTTTAAAAAAAATAATGTTCTCGCTAAAGGAGAATTACATTTTCTTTCTGCCTTCAAATCAACTTGATCTCACAACCTTTCTTCAGTATGGACATTTAGTAATGTCCAATCAGAAAATGTTAGAAGACATTCTAAAGATAAGAAAGTTAAACTGGATATTCTTATGCATTGATATGTATGTTTGCATTCCTATGCATTGATAAGTATATGACCATATTTCTTTTTTAAAAAGATATAGATGGGATGCATATGGGAATACACATCTGGGTCAAGAAAAATGTTATGCATAATTATGAATAAGGATGTCTGATAGATGAAATCACATTTTGCTAGTGAAATGTAGAATTTTGTATTCACGTGAAAGGAAACTACTTCATATTGGAAAAATCCATCTTCTTGCATTGTCTTCTCTAGAAAGGCAAGTGTTTCAAATTGCAAAAATGCCTAATTCTACTAAGCTTACCTACCTCTTTAGATCATCACAGGCACCCCACTAAAGTATGTATTTTAGCCATCATTGAACACACATTCTTGGAAGCTGAAAAAAACTGATACTCAAAAACCTAGGTGAATGTACTGAAAACTATGCTGCACAGCCCATTATAAAACATTTGAAGCAACCCCATCATATGCCAAACCTGGCCTCTAGCACAAATCAGACCTGAGTAGATTTCACTAATCAAGAGAAATCTTAGGTTTACTTATTTATACCAATTTTGATTCTGACAAGCATGGACAACAGTACCTGATAAGAGATGGTAGCATGGTGGACTCCAGCCAGAATGAATTTCTACCCTTGCTGAAATTAGAGACAGCTTCTTTCATTGGCACCAGAACAGTCAAATTGGCTCCACTTGGCATCCTGAAGAGGGATTTCTTTTGATCAAAGCAAGACAACATGCACAGGCATTATTGCTAGCTACTTCTGTGTTTAGTTTAACAGGCATGGAATTCAATATGCAGATCACTACTGGCCTCTTCAATGAAATTTCTGAAAACAGTGGAATCTGATACCTAGAGTCCCAGCATTTTGTATTACAAAACTATTTTAATTTACAAATCGTAGTATGTAGAGCAGTGGTGTGTTTCCATTTTTTTTTTACTATCTGTCTTCACATGTGTGCAATGCTTCTGCGTATGCGCAGAAGTATCTGGGTGGATGGGTGGAGCCTCCCACCGCCACCACTACTGGTTCGCCCAATCTGGGCCGAACCGAAAGCAAGCCACCTCTGATGTAGAGACAATAAAGCAGTTTTAGCATCTTTTCTGATCCAAAGACTAATCTGCATGATCATCAAAAGATAGTTAACCCTTCCAGAGCGAGCTCATTTTTCTCAAGCAAAGGCCTCATTAAAATATGTGTATCATCTGATCACCAACAAACTTAAAAGAATAATAATGCAAAAGTAGTTTTAAAATTACCCAACAGATTGAAACAAGGGTGTTTTGATTCTCTAAGCAACTGCCCTAATTACATAGGCTGAAATTCTTTACTCATAAATCAGTTGCAATGAGCTCCAGCTTTTGAAAAGATTTATATGAAGTTCTGCTTAGAGAGCCCTTTCTGTCAAAAACTTAAAAGGCCATTTTAAAAATAAAATTCTTACTTTAAAATGTAAATAGATTTTTTTTTCTACTGATGGAACAATATACTTAAACGATTTCAATGTTGTCCTGTTTCAGAAATGTTAAAATAGCACTCAACCACAGAAAATCCTTACCGTCATCAAATGATAAAAACTTGAAGAGTGGTAATTCGTTGCCAGCTCCTTGAAAAAGAAAAAGCAACAAATTTGTAAAGCATTATTCTAGGGGTCTTAAAGAAAAAAATGATTCACGCAGCATGATAAACAAGTTTAATTTAATCATGGTTTGCTCATAAACGAAGACAATATGCTAATACAAGGCTAAGCAGACCACATTACAATTTTAATCATACATGTAATCTAGTTAAAGTTGGTTAAATGCTTGGGAACTTGCCTATCAATCAGTCCAAAAGAGAATTCTGATATTTTCCTAGTACAACAGTAGAAGCTACAGTTACTCATATAAGCCAGCCAGAGGCACTTGATTGGCATATAGACTTAATACATTTAATTGTCTTTATTTTGAATATACATGTTTTACATTTTATATCAGGGTGTCCAATTTTTATCAATTTTAACACTTTCAATTCTCCATGGCTGGCTGGGGAATTCTAGCTGGGGAATTCTGGAAGTTGAACTCCACAGGTCTTAAAGTTGCCAAGGTTGGATGCCCCTTCTTTATATTTTTCTTATTGGCATACAGTATCTTTAAAAACACTGATTATAAAAGAATAAAACAAACAGAGGGGGAGTCATTCCTTCATCCACCCACTCATCCATCCAAAGCGCTGGTTAACATTCCACTTCCAATAGTGCCAAATCAGAAGACAAACTTTCCCCCAGAAGGGCAGCCATAGGCTTTGTCTCATTACTGGACTTTTTAAGGCTGCTGGAAATGTGACAAATTGGTTCAAATTAAATTCTCTCCTTCATTCATGTTTCATAACATGACTTCATTTTATTTCTGGTTTTGTATTTTTATCATTATTAAGGCAGATAATATCTCTACAGGGTTGCTAAGAGTTGACATCAATTTAATGGCACATAATTCAGCAAACGTTTTATCATTACTTATAGAACGTCTTTACCAAGGAAAAAACAACTTAATATAAAACAATAGCTGTCTTTTCCGTCCGGGTGCAAGCATAAACTTCTTTGAACATAGAGCTCTCAGGGTGGGCGGGGAGGGGGCGCTTAGATAAAGGAACTGGAGACATTTTCTTATGGCAAAGCAACTATAGAAAAAGATAATTTAGTTGCACTTTATGGTCCAAACCAGCATTCTTTGCCTGAATCTCTGCTTAGAACTAGCATCCCTCTCGATGGTTTAATGTCTAGTGTAACAAAAAGAAGGGATGAGAGACATGATAGGAGTTTTCCAGTATTTAAGCGGCTGTCACAAAGAAGAAGAAGAAGTCAACCTTTGGAAAAAAGCACTTGTAGGCAGAACATGACACAATGGATGGAAACTAATTGAGGAAAGAACCAGCCTAGAAATAAGGAGAAATTTCCTGTCAGAGAGAACAATTAGTCAGTGGAATGACTTGCTTCCAGAAGGGGTGAGTGCTCCAACACTGGAGGTTTTAAAGACAAGATTAGACAACCATTTGTTTGTAATGTTATAGGGTCTCCTGCTTCAGCAGAAGGTTGAACTAGGAGGTCCCTTCTAACTGTTATTCTGCTTGCACTTAATCTGATTTTATTCTGTAGATATGGTTTGGATACTTTTTTTAGCATTATATTGATATAAAATAAGAAATCATTTTTGCAGAGTGAGTTGGCAGAGATGACCTCCCTTTCTTTGCTTGTCTTGTGGAGGCCCTCTCCCTTTTTCTACCAAGAATTATCTTACTTCTAGTCTGGTATAATGGACAAGAGGTTAGACCAGAAGCAGGAAAATCAGGTTCCAATCCCCACTTCAGCCATCAAATTTCAATTTTTTAAAATAATATATTCAAACTATGAATTAGTTTAAGGCTCCTATCACTGCACTGCCATGAAAAAAATCATTGTCTCTCACAAAGTTAGTCATTGTGGTTTCCGGTTTAGAATGGGAAATCTAAAAAGTGCTGATTTTTTTCCCTTTTAAATAAGGAAGCTAGAGCAGAACAGTGCTTTTTCCTGGAATATTTTCTGCCTTAACTTGCTTTTTTGTTAACAGGAATGATAAGCGAAAAGCTGAGTTTGAGAAGTGAGATGCTGTTGTGTGCATAATCAGAAAAGTCACTTGAGGTTTATGTTGGTCCAGAATATTTGCACTGTCTGAAAGATACTCCATCGAAGTGGTCTTTCTTAGCCATATCAAAGATAGCAGACAGAACAGAGCCACTGCCATTGAGTTATGGTCCTTGCCTGATATAAATCAATTTACTACCCCCACTTGAAAGAGAATGGAAATGCATCTTTTTACCGTCATCATATCACCGTAGCATTGAATTCCATCTCCCATATATCCAGAAGGGCAACGGCAATCTTTTTCCCCAGTATTGAGAATCTGGCACACAGCCTGAGTTAAAAAAAAGAAGATAATTCTCAGCAATAAGAAAGTAAAGAAAAGGAAATAGGCAGAACTCAATATCACCTTAATAGGATGCTAAAGACCTAATGCAGTCTATCTGGTTCAGAGTGGTCTGAGCCCCAGCAGGATGTGCCCTCCCCCAAATCTTTGGTATAGCCCCCAGAGAATATCCAACAATTGTTACTACATTGAAAAATTTTTAATGGGGCTGGTGACCATTATTCAGGACATGTCTAGGGAAGAATCACATAACTCCATTTCATTTTAATTAAACAAAACTGTAAATGAAACAAAATCAAAGTGCATTCTTTGCCCTAACTTCAAGAGTCTGCTTTGAGAAACACAACTCCGTATAGCATCCAAAGCCAGTTGTGGGGCTAGGCCTTTAAAATAAAACAAGCAGTTTTTTTCTTATGGGTTTCTGTGCTAAAGCAACCCACTTTTTTTCTACTTGGAGGCTAAACTGCTTCATACTGCTTTGTAAGAGCAGAAAATTCGAACAGTTATGAATGAATGCATCCATAGTTGCTTCTGGTCTTTATTTCCTCATCTTAACTCTAATTTTCAAACTCTTTTAAAAAACACATTTTGTGTTTCTTCTGATACAAGCATTTTTGCATGCAACTGTGCCAACTATGTACTATTTTGTAATTGGTTTTCCTACATATAGGGACCTTATGCTCACTTTACTAAATGCATTGTCTTTTTGAGAACTTTCCAGCATTCTGGAAAGATTACTCCACAGGTTTCAGCTTCCAACTAGATTCCAATTCTGTGCCTTTTGTACTGTTGAATGATTTGTGTCACAGCCACCAGACTTATTATGGCTGTTAGCCAGGGGAGCTAGAGGGTAACTCATCTGAAAGGTATTAGACTGGGAAGGCTACCCTACATTATTCCCATCTCTTACCAGTGCATGACAGCCCCCATTGTCCATCAAACAAGGGTTAATTTTATCACAGACGTAACCATCACCCTGATAGCCTTTCTTGCACGTGCAGCTGCTCTGAAAATGGAAACAGCAGGGACATTAGTTCCTATCCAATAGTATTAGTTTTCTAAGAAAAAGTTATTTTTTTTCCATTTTAACCTTTATTTAAAAACTTCTGGAAATGAAGGGGAAAAAATTAAAGTTTGTAACTAATATATTTGTAACTTGAAATTTGAAATCAGCGGAAATAGAAGTATTCTGGATTTTTCATGTGCCAAACTAGATAATGGTTGGAAGCCAGCAGTCCTCCATCTGTTCTGAATTACAACTTACAACATCCTTTCCTATGGATGTCAATAATAACAATAGTTCTATCTGAGGACAACCCTACTCAAGACAGAAGTGGATTTGGGGATCTCAGAGTCATCTGCATTCTTTGAGACCAGCACAACGTTTGTTCAGAATGGACTCTCTCCCAGGACTCTGATTTAGATTCTCCAGTGCAGTCATCTACCTAGGCAAAATCTGGTGACAGCAGTAGCATCAGATAGAATATTGGAAAGCTATGAGAACCAACATGCTTCCCTTGTAATCAAGTCTACCTTGGAATTTACACAAATATGGCCCTACATGCCAGGATAACTTTCCAGCTGAGTGAGGCATAATAAACACCGCATGAGTTAAAACCAACATAGTATTTCTTGCTTGTCTTGCAGTTGCATCAGGTTTAGCCAGAAACAGCATGTGTCGTACTCTAGTATTAAACTCTCTAGTATTAAACTTCCCTAATTGAAACCAGCCACTTGTCAGAAGCAGTGTTTGCATCTCGTGGGCTTATGCAGTTGATCATTCCCATAGCCTAAACCCAAACAGACTTGAGTATTGTATTGTCTCTGGGCTGCCTACTTGTAGGGCAGGTCAATTTTTTCAAATTTCAATTTCCAAACATTGGAGGTGCTCAGAAGTTGTGACATGCCTTGCGGATTGTAAAGAGATTTTGGTTACTTTAATGTACCATAATTTAGATGTGCTTGGTAAGTAACTACATGAATATCACAACTGTTTTAACATTTTGTTTGTTTCACTAGGCTGTCGACTTTGCTCTCTTCTGTTTGCTTTTTTGGAATCTTAACCTAGATTTCCACGACTGTAGTTTTTAACTTTTAGAGTGACTTATACTTCTACATTTTTGTGGCCACAAGTAATCCTTTGGGGGAATTAGACCAAACCAGTCTTTTCCTGGAATTGTGCAATAGAGGACAATCATGTGATCCTGGGAAAAGGCAAGGCTTCTTAAAGGAGTTACAAATTCTCACTTTTATTGTTCCATTCAATGCAATTCAGTAGAGGTTGAAAATGTTAACTCTGTGGCCTGCAGCCACTTTAAAAATCTGATGCTATCATATAAAAAGCACAAGCTGCATCATTAGTTAACAAACCCATGAGCCACAGATCCTTTTTAGCAGGACAGCAGGGAATAACAATACTGTACCTGTCCAGGGCCAATGTAATTACAATCAGCATCAATGTGACAGCCTCCTCTGGTCTCTGTTACACAGTTGTCTACCACAGCACAAGCTTTTCCATCCCCAGTCCAACCTCGGAGACACTGACAGCTGACTGTGCCAGGACCCGTACTGGTACATGTAGCCTGGCAAAAAAATGAAACAAGATGAGAATGAGAGAAGGGCATTTCTGCACTTTCCATTTAAACTATTCTTGTTCATCTTGATTCTAAGCCATCTTAACAAAACCCTGTGCAGGCTGAGGCATGTTGGCAACAACTAATAAGTTATTTGTTTTGCTATCACGTCTTCTCATTGGATAATTCCCTGTTGTTTCAGGAAAGCGCTTTCATAACTATGGGTATGTGTTTGCGGATAATTCTCTGTGTGTGTGTGTGTGCGCGCACACGTGCGCACATGCATGGGTTCACAGACCCTCAAATACCCGTATTTTTTGGAGTATAACATGCACAGGAGTATAAGATGCACCAAGATTTTGAAGAGGCAAATTTTTAAAAAACATTTTTGCACTGCAGACCTCCCAAAAATGGCCCATTTTTTATGAAAATGGGCCTGGTTTTTTGCCAAAAAAAAGGGGGCATGCATTTCCTTTAGGAGGCTTATGCTTCTGAGGGCTGGGGGAGTGTGCAAAAACAAGCAAAAAATGGCCCATTTTTCACTCATTTCTGCCCTCCCCAGCCCTCAGGAGCACTCTGGAAGCCTCCTAAAGGCTATGCATGGCCATTTTTGCAAAGGGGCAATGTTTCAGGAGGCCAAAAATGCTGTATTCAGTGCACTCAGATTTTCACCCTCTTTTTTGAGGGAAAAGGTGCATCTTATACTCCAAAAAATACAGTACATATCTCACACGCACAGTTACATTTTGTATATGCATGGACAGACAGATACAAGGTAAAAATATCATCTTGCAGATACAAAACAAACATTTTTCTTGCTCTACAATACATTCTACTAGGTTCTAAACCTCCATTTACCGACAGTGCTGAACCAGCAGAACGGTTAAGATCTTTGCTTGCACAATAAAAGGTTGCAGTTTGATTCTTGGTAGAAATGGGAGGGTTTTTTTTAAAGCACATATCTTTTCTTGATTAGATTGTTTTTCTATTTCAGCTTTTTAAAACAATAAGTCTAGGGCTTCCTGTTTTAGCAATTTTCCAGTCACTTGGCATAGAAGAGTTTCACTTCCAGCCCTCAGATAGCCCAACCTCCTCCTCCTTCTTTTTTCTTTAGCACAAAAGAATTGGATTGCAGCCTCCAGTTTGTGTGAAAATTAGAATTATTCTGATATGCAGTTCTAATTACTGCGGGTTTATACTAAAGTTTATACTAAAGACATACAAATGCCCTTAGAAAAAAGGTACCAGGCTTTTAAGAACCATGCCAGTAATCCTGAATAGAATTTGCACCTCACAAAGCATCAGCCAGGACTCTCTATATAAATGGGGCCCAGTATCCTCCCCTCAGTGTGACTGTCCCAATTCCACACCAAACTGTAGATCACATTGTGACTGGCTGTAAGCTGAAGGCATACCGTATTTTTTGGAGTATAAGACACACCAGATTATAAGGCGCACCTTAGTTTTTGGGGAGCTGGTCAGCTTCAGCACATTAGTTCACTCACTGGTTTTGAGGTTGGGGATGATGGGGCATAAGCTTCAGCACATTAGTTCTCTTGCTGGCTTTGAGGTTGGGGATGATGGGGGCTGTGCTTCTAAAGCACATCTGATTGTCAGAGGGAGCAGCAATTAGAAAAGCAGGCAAAGCACTTAGCTCATGTTTCTGAAACTTAGCTAAGCACTTAGCTCATGTCTGGACTGAAAAACAGCTTCAGAAGCATAGCTGATCCTTGGAGGGAGCTCCAGGGACTAAAGCAGGCAAAGTGGGGAAGGGGTAAGAGAAGGCAGCAACTGTTCTGGGTAACCATTTTGGGAACCGCACGTCGAGCATTTGGAGGCTGAAAACACAATGCACAGAGCCCAAAAGCACAAGCCATTATGGGTGGCAATCTCTGCAGCCAGGAAGAGGCTGCGTGGAGGCCAAAGGGTGGGGGCCAGCGAGTGGGTGGGCCTACATTCTGAGTATAAGACACACCCAAATTTTCAGCCTCTTTTAAGAGGGAAAAAAGTGTGTCTTATATTCTGAAAAATATGGTATATCAGTCCAGTGTCTAATTTTTTTAAAAAATAAATGATGCTGCGCTTCAGTGGTTAAATGCCTAGATATTGCTATTACAACATTGATCTTTTTAATATTTATATTTTATTGCATTTCAGATGAAATGTTTATCTATTGCTAGTCCATGTATGCTATGTCATACGCTAAACAAAGAAACAAATAATACTAAGGTAACTTTTATCTGGATTAATCCAAAAGATGATCTAGGTTATTGACCCACTTACATTTTCTGAACATCCTCCCCTTCCTGGCTTACTACAGGCATCAATGGGCTGGCAGGAAAGCCCATCCCCTTCATATCCATCAAGACAGACACAGCTAGAAGACAGCAGAGAGCAGCTAATGAAATCCGAGGTACCTACGAATCGCATACTCATTCAGGTTAAAGCAATGCTAATTTATGACACTTAAGCCATGACATTCATCATGCAAATAGTGTCATTTGCAACATATTATATCATTTGCATATTACATTACATTTCCATAATGACATCATTAAGCAAGTGCCATGTATTGTAGCAGAATTTGGTCAATTACCTGAAACTATCTTGTAAATTGAAGTTTCACCATAGTTTCTATCATGTCTGGAATCATTCAGACTACAGGTAGTCCTCGACGTACGACCACAATTGAGCCCAAAATTTCTGTTGCTATGTGAGACATTTGTTAAGTGAGTTTTGCCCCATTTTATGACTTTCTTGCCATAGTTGCTAAGTGACTCACTGCTGTTGTTAAGTTAGTAACACAGCTGTTAAGTGAATTTGACTTCTGCATTGACTTTGCTTGTCAAAAGATTGCAAAAGGTAATCATGTAACCCCAGGACTTTACAACTGTCATAAATATGAGTCAGTTGCCAAGTGAATTCAGACAAATGTGAATTTTAATCCCATTACTATGGGGGTGCTGCAACAGTTGTAAGTGTGAAAAACAGTCATGTCACTTTTTTCAGTGCTGTTGTAACTTTGAATGGTCATTAAGTAAACTGTTGTAAGTCAAGGACTATCTGTATCTTTCAAAATTTATCACTGATTCACGCATTGCACGATGCACTAAAGACTAAACTATGTTTTGCTTGATTACTATTTATTAAAATACAATCAGCTGGGTTCATATGATATTATAAACTAAAAGCAATAAAGGATACTAAGATAGGGGTATCAAGACAATAGTTATGTTGCTTTTGATCCAAGCAACAGTGTCTTCTTCTCTTTCTGTCATCTAAAAACCATTCACGAAACTGTATTTATGTCAAGGGAGGAATTGTTCTGACCTAGGCTTCCTTAAAAAGCATGAAGCAGAGTCTTGGTCCCGGCAAAACATCTTTATTTACTGACTGTGAATTCCTTTCATTCACAGTCAGCAAAGCTTGGCAAACAGTTTTTCAGAGTAATATTTATCAACACAAACCTTATCTCACTTGGCAAGCTGCCAGATAATTAATTTACAAATGCATGGCAAGGCAACACTTGGCACAGAGTCTCTTATAGTCACAAATAGAACTTTTCACTCTTAAAACGACTGAAGGAATGAATTGTTTCCTGCAAAAGCCCACTCCCCGTTCACTCCTCTTTTGTTTCCTATGGGAGGGGCCAATCACCTTCAAGGTTTGGCTTTACTCCCAGTCGACCCTGCTTTCTTAGTTGTTCTTGTCTTCTGGCAGCTCTATGCATTCGCATGCTGGGAACAGGCACCAGCTGTTCCTCTGCCTCACTGCTGTCTAGCTCCCCCTCTGCCTCTGATGCAGAGCCCTTATCTGAGCTTTCCTCACCCCCCAGAACTGGCCCATGTTCCTCCCCAACCTCCTCACTATCTGACTCTGCTGCCAGCGGGCCACAACAGAAATGTAATAAAGTTGAACAATCCTAAGCATTTCTACTATAGAAAGAATCCTACTGAATTCTCAGTATCGTGCTCCAAAGTAGGAAGTTTAGCAACATCCCAATAGAATTCACACCCTGTTCTGTTGTATTCACCATTTTCACTGAGGTTGCTTCTCAAAAGATCATAGGATGGATAATGTTACATTTTCATGCCTTTCAGCTTTCATAAACGTCTCTTACTCAAGAAATAAGATATTAATATAATCATATATCATAATCAGGGGTAATTTATGCCTTTCCCCAATGGAACTGAGTAAGGAATCTGATCCCAGATGCCCCCTGCGAGGACTTACGTCACAGTGTCATTCACAGTACAGGTTGCATGGACATGGCAATTCAGAGTGGCACCAGTAGATTCACAACTGTGAGAGCGTATGTCACAGAATTCCCCGGTGTAGCCATCCGCACACGTCCCTGCCTGGCACACACCTTTGCTTCCCGGTCTGTTGTCACAAATTCCATGGATGCAGCCACAATCTTCCATTGTGAATAGAGAAGAAAGATAAAAACGTAATTGTTTAAATTATAATTGCGGGATTTCTTGAATCCCTTTAATGACATTTAATCCATACGATGGCTTGGGGTTCCCTTTCCGCTTTGTTGTGCCGACCGTAAAAGACAGAGGATTGGTGTAGGCTAAGATATTGTATAAAAATAGGTCACTTCTAGTCATTAGAGGAGTGGCAAGTTCAATCAATCAATCGGAATAGAACTGGAAGGGACCTTGGAGGACTTCTAATCCAACCCTTCTCCTGCAAGCAGGAGACCCTATACATTTCAGACAGTTATTTAATTGTACATTATTATTTCATATTATTTTAACTTCCAGGCAAGGGAAGCTTGTGACTTATTTTCTCTCAAGCACCAGAATAAAGTCACCAGGCTTGGGTATCATGCACCTGGAGGTAGAAAGGAGGATACTATTTCTAGCTCTGCTCCAGGAAGACCAAATATCTCCCCTTGTCTCAGTGCTTTCCTGCCTGATTTGTGTCTCAGACCTTCAGTGCAGTTCTCCCCATGCTTGTTTGGGTTTGAGCAGATGTGACAGGCAATTCCTTTGAAGCCATCGTAGCAGTTGCATTGACCGTTTCCGTGTATACCGTCATTACACTGGGGAAAAAACAAAATTTCCAATGTTACAGGAGATAATTTGTCTTTCACTCAGCTTACTATAAGACCATCCCCCTGACCTAGTGAAGTCTGACTTACAAATGACTACACATCCTTAATGTAGCCCTATACTGTATATATGTATTAAATTATTTTGGGGTGGCAGTAATAACATTTGTTTTCAGTCAATTGTTTTCTTTCCCGATCTTTGCAAAGTTCAACAGCATGCATCCACAAGTTTCTTGCAACTATTTCCCTAACATTGTTACTTAATGCATAGCTAAGAATTCTGTGCCCCTTTATTGAGCTCTTGGCTGCAGGGCAAGATCAAGGAAGCAGAATAGTAATAGCACTTAGACTTATATACCACTTCATAGTGCTTTACAGCCCTCTCTAAGCAAAATCAGTTTATTGCCCCCAACAATCTGGGGCCTCATTTTACCAACCTCAGAAGGATGGAAGGCCGAGTCAAAAAGCTATACAGATTTCAGAAAAGCATCTTTAAGGCTTGTCTGCGATAATATAATCTCTCGGAATAAGAAATTAATAGCAATAGCAATAGCGCTTAGACTTATATACCACTTCACAGTGCTTTTTACAGCCCTCTCTAAGCAGTTTACAGAGTCAGCCTATTGCCCCCAACAATCCGGGTCCTCATTTTATCAACCTTGGAAGGATGGAAAGCTGAATCACCATTGAGCCTGGTGAGATTTGATCTGCCAAATTGCAGACAGTTGGCGGTCAGCAGAAGTAGAATGCAGTACTGCATTCTAACCACTGTGCCACCACAGCTCTTAATAAGAATGTAATAAGAATTTCTTAGCCTTGTTTATAGTGAGTTCATCAAGATGGAGGCTCCTGGAATGTTTTAAAATGCTTCTTTCAGATTTTTTTGTCACCTGGTAAAGATAACAGCCATGAGATAAGCTGTTAACTGACTCCTCCATTACTTTTCTTGATTGTTTGTATCTAGGCTGTCATTTATTCTTTTCTCTGCCTCCCATCTCTCATACACTTACACTTCCTTTGTCGTAGCATGGATTGATATATCCACCAGGACATGGGGTGCAGGAATGACCGAAAAACCCTTTGCAGCATCCAGGTATCTTTTAAATAAATACACAAAAGCAAATAAGTGTTCAATGTGCCATTCTTCTTCTGTTATCAAGGTATAGCTACATCCCTCCCCTCACTCCCTCACATGAGACAACAACTCAAGGGAAGTCCCAAGGTACCGTGTTTCCCTGAAAATAAGACAGGGTCTTATTTTCTTTTGCCCCATGAAATATGGCCTTGGGCTTATTATAGGGGGAGGGCTTATTGTTTTGAGGTTGCTGGGCAGCTGCTCCCTTGCGAGTGGGCTCCTGAAGAGCCCGGCAGAGCCTCAAAGGTGAAGCAGCCATGAGGTGACCATGCTCACGAGCAGCTGCCTGGCAAACCCCGTCTCCAGCCGGGCAGAGTGCCATACACTGACCTAGGGAGTATCCCTAAGGTGCCAAGGCACATGGCACTCTACCCCGTCCCCAGCTTCCATGGCTTGGCACATTAGGGATACCCCCCTGAGAGTCATTGAGGCCACTTGGTTTATCTGTTCCCTCAGGGTCACCTGAATCGGAGCATGGAACCTTCTTAGGGACTGCTGACAGGACTGTGATCCTTCCATCCACCCCCCTTGCCCCCTTGCCAAAATGGATGAAGATTTTTGGAGGAGCAGTGGTACGTCTTCATGGAAAAACAACGAAAGTCAGTTGCCTTTTGAAAAAGCACCTTTGAGTGAGTGACCTGAATGACTGAGAATCTCCATAGATATTCAACTCAAGGGAAGACAAATATTGGGTTTTGCCTTTCTTTATTTTTCCGTAATAAAGAAGCCAGCTCCTTTATCAAGGTTGGTTATGTAACAAAGGGATCTTTTGTCTGGGCAGAGAGGAAAGTAAGTGAGTATTGACCCAGAATCAGCCTCTGGTACTCTTTAAATCTTGAACTACCCCCTGGCAAAATGCAAGGCAGCTATCCCAATTTTTTGTGACAATACCTCATATGCACCATGTGGCCAAGATGCTGATTATGATGGTACAACTGAAACTCTGGCCTTTTTCATATGCAGTGCACACCTTGTGGAGACCCTTGATCTCTGGAGGTAAGGAGGGGGGATTTCTTTTTGCTATTTCTTGTATGAATATATGTGATGTGTGCATGAGAGAGGAAGTGTGAGCGTGTGCACATTTATGTGGACACTTGAATCTCTTTATATATCCAAAGCAGCTTCAGCCACACAAAATAGGAAGAGATGAACAAACTTGGGAGGAGTCTTAATCTTTGCATAAGTATTTAAAAAATATTTAATACTTATATTGCAAACAGGTTACAAATGGTAAATAAAAAGCATCCAAGATTAAACAAGGAATCTACTGAATAAATTTTGCAATAAGGGAAATATTTGCGCATGCATGCACAGTGTAATAAAAATTGCTCTGTGCAGAAGCAAACAAATAAGATGGTGGCACCTATGGTGCCACCTGGAGAACAGGTTTGGGGGCGTGACAAGCCTGGGTTGCTTCCGGTCCCAGCGACCCAGGCCACCAAACCACTACCGATTCAGCCAAACCAATCCGAACCGGTAGGAACCAAGCACTGAAGTGTTCCCTGCTGGATACCTTACACTTACCATTTCATTCAGAGTGCAATATGCCTGGCAGCCTTTCTTCAGAATATTCAAACCAAGAGGATCATGGGTATAAACGCACTCTGTTGAAAAAGCCTTGTCTTCCTTTGGAAGCAAAATGAATTACAATTAAAAAAAGCATTTTTTCATATATGTTCCATGTTTTTACATATGTTCCATGACCCTTTTGCCAGCCAATGAATGTTCAAAGAGAGGCCGAGTTATAAAGGAGACCTCCAAACAGGAAAAGCAGTTTCCTCTCTGACTGACAAGAGAAATCATGTTTTTCAAGATAGCACTCTAGTTCACCTCACAGAGAGGCAGAACAAGGAAGACATAACAGAAATTCTGTTGCAAGCAAGATTTTTCTTCTTTTTTGATTAGGAGCCAATACATCACAAGGCAGTCATCTATTCTGGATAGAGATGGGGGAAGTAGGCAATTTTAGAGAACTTTAGAGAATTCCATTGTAAAGTCACTTATTTCAGCACAACAGAGGTTTCAACATAATTTTGTATTCTGCTTTTTGAATACATAATTTCAGAAAACCTTGCATGAAAACTCTCTCTCTCTTTTTCTTTTTAAGTGAGGAACACTTCAAGAAATAACCAGGGCTTGTTCCAAAGATCCAAAATATCTAGAATGCAGGCAGCAATCAATTCACTATTAACATAAAACAGTATTTACAGATGCAATGGCTCTAAGAAATATGCATTTGCAGCAGTGGTGGGATTCAAAAACTTTTACTACCAGTTCTGTGGGAATGGATGGCTTGGCGGGCATGGCTTAGTGGGTGTGGCAGGGGAAGGATACTGTAAAATCTCCTTTCCCTCCCCACTCCAGGGGAAGGTTACTGCAAAATCCCCATTCCCTCCTGATCAGCTGGGACTCAGGAGGCAGAGAATAGATGTGGATGGAGCCAGTCAGAGGAGGTATTTACCAGTTCTCTGAACTACTCAAAATTTCCACTACTGGTTCTCCAGAACTGGTCTGAACCTGCTGAGTACCACCTCTGATTTGCAATTTCCACAGCCTACAAGTTTGCTCAGTTGTTCTAATGCAAATCATCTTTGATACTGTTGAAGTACAACCAGCATTATAACATGGTTGTACATTGTGAAGTCCTTGGAAATCACTATTGTCTCAATTGCTGCAATCAACCCGCTGTTCTAGAACTGACAGAAAAGCTAGAACAGCAGTTGCAAAAGGACTGAAATGTGACAGCTAAACATGAAGAAACAAAAGGCAGTTCAAATAATTGGAGTCCTTCCAGCTTATGCCAGCCAAAGCGGACCTTTTCAAGCCTGTATTAATTTGACCTCAAATATGCCAATGCAGAAGAAAGGTTGAGTGCTGATTCTGCCCTGATTTTTATCAACTTTTTATTTCCTTCCTGGTTTGTTTGTACAATTCTGGGTATCCGCTGAACATATGTGTGCTATGTAGAATTACATTTGAAAGGGAAAGGGCTGACTTCACCAAAGGTATCAGAATCTGGAAGATTTGAAAGGTTGCAAATAGAAATCATGACAGCTACTATTCATGCTATTCATTAGCATTGCATAGTCCTGCTTTTTGTTGACATTATTATTAGCATTAATGTTTCCCGTGAATGGGTCACAAAATACAGCTACCCTTCCACAGCATAATCTCCATATAGAAAAATCAGGGCAGTTACCCTAATTTGGCTCCCAGGAGGACAAAGGCTGCTATTAAGAAGCGCACAATCCACACAAGAACCCTGTAATAAAAGTCAAAGATAAGAAGTAATTAATTGATAGACTTTTTAAAAAATGTTGCGTTGCTAAACTTATAACTCCCTTCAAAGCTGCAGAATGATACTCTGCAGGTTATGCACGGTTAAAATTACCATTTAAAACAGAATTACATGACCATCTATTCCCCTTCCATGCTGAACATAAAGATAATGTAGAGTGATGTTGTTTCATGGACACCTTCATTGTTCTGCTCAGTGATAAGTCCATGAAAAATCATCCATGATCACACAGAAAACATGCATCTAAGAAGAAGTTTGCAATATGGTGCACTCAGGAATTTTATTGAGTTCTTTCTTGTGTTCTGTGATTTGTACACACTTTATTACAAGGCTACGTTACACCATCAGTGTTAGTCTGGTAATAAAACATCTGCAGGAAAACAACCTACAGAATGCAACCAAGAACTCAACAGGTTAACCTCAGATACATAGATTCTCCAATATTGGGAGGAATTTTGTTTCTGCTATTTATCAGCTCTTTTAATTGACTTTTTAATTAAATTTAGTTTAATTAAAAAGCACTGCTTGCTAGGAGATGAGAAAGGTGAATACCTGCTTTGCTGGATAAACTGAATGCATTGTAGCCTTAGAAGAAATGGGCAACTCAATAGCCCAACAACTCAGTAACACCTAACACTTAATTCTAGCTCCTAAGGAGCTTGCAACAAGAAAATTTGAACATTTTATTGTGTCCACAGAGGAAGATGTTGCTTCCTCAGATCAGCCTGATTGTGGCCCAGTCATCTCTTTGACAATTTAGGGGGAAACTTATTGACCCTCTTTCCACAGGTCTACGATTATGACGAAAATTATATCTGCCAAATGTTTCCTTGTTGTGACTTAAAGATTGCTCCTGAATTCTTTGAAGGTAACATATATTCTCTCTGTTTATCTCCATCTTGCTATCATCTATTTTCTCTCTGGGCAGAATACAACCAAGATCATGTGAGGTACTGATACCACTCTATAAAGTCTTAGTAAAACCACACCTTGAATACTGCATCCGGTTTTGGTCACCACACTATAAAAAAGATGTTGGGACTCTAGAAAGAGTGCAGAGAAGAGCAACAAGCATGATCAGGAGACGGGAGGCTAAAACATATGATTAATGGTTGCAGGAACTGGGCATGGCTAGTCTAGTGAAGAGAAGGACCAGAGGAGACATGATAGCGGTTTCTCAATATCTGAGGGGCTGCCACAGAGAGGAGGAGGTCAACCTATTTTCCACAGCACATGAAAGCGAGACCAGGAATAATGGATGGAAACTAATCAAAGAGAGATTCAACCTAGAAATTAAGAGAAATTTTCTGACAGTGACGACAATCAACCAATGGAACTGCTTGCCTTCCAAAGTTGTGGGAGTTTCATCACTTGAAACTTTCAAGAAGAGACTGGAGTGCCATCTGTCAGAAATGGTGTAGTAGGGTCTCCTGCTTGGGTGGAGAGTTGGACTAGATGACCTACAAGGTCCCTTCCAACTCTGTTAATCTGTTAAATCCTGTAATTCTTAATGAGTGGCTAGCAGTAAATTGTACTGTACAAAAATTTACAGTACAAATTTACAACCTCCGGGTTCTTGAAAGATTTCTCCCTGTACAAAAGAGTTTCTTCTAATACCCCAGGAACTTTAAATTTTCTTTTGAGGTATTGGATTCAAGAGGGCAGAAAGTGGTGCCACTGGTGCTTTTTTAATATCCTCCTCTACATTGCTGTACAGTTATCACTGCTCCCAGATTTAGGGGGAGAGTTCTTTTTTTTTGAGCTCTTCCTCTGTGATTTTATTTGAAACTTGGGAAGCCCGGGAGCCTCCATATCACTGGAGAAATGATATTTTGGTTTCAATTGCATTGCCTTTTCTCTTTCTCACTCTCACTTTTTGTTATTTTAAAACATTTTTCTATTTTCTTTCTCTGGTCTAATGAAAGAAAGCAAAAATCCAGTTCAAAACAGCCCTAAAACCAGTGGAGAATCCTTGCTCCATCCCACTTCATCCATCAGAATTTCACTAAATGTTTTCCTTTGCGAAAAAGGGAAATTAGACTCTTCAAACAGGATGAATGTCTGACAAATGCAGAGGAAATATTCAGCATGACATTATAACAAAAACAAAAGCCACTTATTTTCTACTATGCTTTCAGTATTCTAATGCAATTTTGCTGTATTTCTTTCTGCTGCTTAAAATTGTACTAAGCATTTTAAGGATTATACTCTCCTTTTATGGCTTGTAGGTAACACAGATGAGAATTGGTCCAATATTTTTTTAAAAAAAATGATACATCTGTCCTGTTGTATCCACAGGACCAATTGCAACAGGCACTGCGTAAGGTCAGTGCCTAGAAGCCTGATTGCTCCTCTGTATCAGCAACAGGAAGCAGATGTTTTCAGAAAGGTGCTGAATCCTCATCAGGCTTACTTGCAGAGGCTGAGTCAACAGGAAAGGCTAGTTCTCACAGGAAATGCAATATGGTGGCCTCTGAAGAGCCAAATCGCTTTTGAGGTTAAAAATAGTCTAGGAATATTTTGCATATAGACAAACATTCGTTATCTTTTAGACTTGGAGTAAAGGGAGGAAATTCATGGGAAAAGAGCTGAATTTGCAGAAAAAGTAAGTGGATTGGTGCAGTGGTGAGTTTCCATTTTTTTTTTACTACCGGTTTGCTCATGCATGCATGCGAACAGAAGCATCCGGGTGGGTGGGCGGAGCCACTACCGGTTCATCCGATCTGGCAGAACCGGTAGAAACCCACCTCTGGACTGGTGGGTCCACAAGTCACCATCTCACACCCAATGAACAAACTGGGTTTCTCTTGAGAGAATGTTTCTCTTTTCCCATCACCCCAGATCTTTCCATCTAAAGTCTGGGAAAAACTTATACAAGAGAAAGAGCAAATTCAACATCTTTGGTTTATTTACCTCCACAACTTTAGAATGTACTTCATTACACTTCTTCGGCAGAATTGGGAGTATTGATGAAGGAATCAAGATACCATCCAAAGTATGAATAATACCATTTGAGGCCAAAATATCCCTTTTGTTTATCACAACCTTGGAATTATCCAACAGGATCCTTCCCTGGAATAAAAAAATAAAATAAAACTGCATTGACAGAAGCCTTTGAAATATATGTGTGCAAGACAGACCTTGTCAAGGTGTTGGGATAACTGCTTTTGCAGTAGAAAAGTGGAAAATATTTCCTCAATAGCAGAGAGAGCTATGCATTAAAAAAATGAATGTAAACCTGCTAGCTACTGTACATGGAATGGAGACAGAGTCATGGGCAACTTCTCAGTCTCCCATCAGACAGGATATTAATATTTCTAGGAATTTCAATGCCATAGTACTTACATCGTTACTGATGTCAACTGTCACCAATTGGTTTGCCATGGTCAGAATATGTGGCATAATTATTAGCCTTTCTATATAGACCTGGAAAAGATTGAATTTATTCAGATATATATTTGATTTATATAGCCAGCCATCTCGCATACAATTAACATTCTCAGGTGTTCGAGCCTTGGACCAATACGTTCAATTCATGAGCCACTTTTATTGGAGCCAGGGAAATGCTTGGGTTCCTGGCTGCTTTCTCACTGGAGGGTCACCTGGATAAACATTTTCTGGTGGAACACAACCCTTTCTTTAACTCCATGGTCTTGACCCAAACATAGCTCCAGCCATGGTCGCATATGGTCTCTTAGACATTGACTGAAATTACTGTATGTCTCATTGGCAACAATGCAGTTATTTGAGAATAAATATGGAGAGGGTACAATTATAATTTTGAACTGAAAATGACAAGATACAGGAGACAATTTCAGGAGGCAATTCAATAAAGATTTTGTCCATATAAGGCACATTAGGTGGTCTGAGAACATCCAATGTCATAACCTAGTTTACAAATGGACATGAGAAGTTTCTGCCTGGGAGAATGTTTTAAGATTAAGATCATCATCATCATCATCATCATCATCATCATCATCATCATCATCATCATCATCATCATCATCATCTTAGCCATTGTCTATCCACTGAAGAGGCCATGCAGAAGATTAAGGTGTATATTTAAAACTAATGGAGTCACAAACAGGGGTTTCTTACCTAGTTTTAAAGAAATAGATTTAGTTTAACAATTACAAATTACTACCTATTTTGAAAAGACTTTTAATAGCATGGCATAAAGGGCATGCTTGTTCCTACTATTCTATTTTTATTGTGCTAGTTCCCTAAAGAAAGGGAACTAGTCTCAAGAGATACATAGGTCTTTAGGAAATGTCCATCTGCATTTCCTCTTCACCAGTTCAAGAGCCCTGGCAAGGAGCAAATTATATGTGAAAGCGATGAAATGAACTTGGAAAGAAAAAAAAAAAAACCTTACCGCTGCTGTGGGATAGATATGATGTTTCACCAGTTCCTGAAGCTTATTTATGCCCTAGTACAGGGAGGGAAAAACAATTACAGGCTGTCCTTAGATTTAATGGTTGAGGATTACACAAGAGATTGTGAATAACAACCTCTTGTCCATGTACATTATATTTCAAAATCAGAGTTTCTTCCTGAAGGACAGCATGATTTGTATGAATATACCAAATTAATTTTCACTCTAAAAAGTTTGAATTTAACAAGAAGGGATTTTTGCATTGCCCTGTGCAAAAGGATCAGAGTGATAAAATGAAAATTAAAAGCTGCAGAAGGTTAATTCTTCCCTCTGTACTTACTACCAATCATTCTTTCTCTACTCTGCAGTTGGATTCTGACTTCCCCATTCCAATTTAAACAAAACCCCACATATCTAAATTGCTGTGTTCTAAATCAATCTAACATTACCAGTGTCTGTTATAAAAACAGTTTTGCTAGAGACTAAGTCAGAGGGAAAGCATGTTTATTTTATTTAAAATTGTGCTTTGCCATTCTGCTCAATGTTACTGAAGAATGCATACAGACCAACTTTCAATTTACCTAATTAAGAGCCTATCTCTTTTAATAAAATGTGCTTGTAAATGCTGCGGCTAAATTGTGCATGTTTTGCTGTCATAGACAGCTGATAAACAACATTGTCTTTGCAATTAATTCTTCTGCTGATATCAGCCAGATTTTGTTGCAGGAAAAAGCAGCAGAGACAGAGACCTCAAAGACTGCTGAAAGCAAGATTACCCTGAAAGATGTCAAAATTGTTATGCCTTTCCCCCAACAGTTAAATTAGAGAGATCCATGAGTTTCCTCCATTCATTAGATCAGTGTTTCTCAGTCTCAGCACCTTGAAGATGGGTGTACTTCAACTCCAAGAATTTGCCAGACAGCATAGTGTCTACCTATCTTCAAAGAGCTTTGCATTAGATTGAAGGAAATTGATCTAATCCTAAACTCTAAAATCTACCTGACTCTTGGGTTAATACCCCAGAGTGTTGCAGGAGAGTATATTCAAATTGTGAAACATTCCTACCTCCAAATAGTTTGGTTGAATCTCTCCCTCCCTCCCTCCCTCCTCCCTCCCTCTCCCTTTCATGCTCTCCCTCCCTCTCCCGATCTCTCTCTCCTTCTCCCTCATGATCTCCCTCCCTCCCCCTTCCTCTCTCTCATTAACAGAGAAGGAAATCTACCTCCCCCCTCTAAACTCTTGTTTTTACTTTGTTTTACTTTTTGTAACTTTAATCCATTTTATATTTATAAGTGTTATTATATTTTGTTTTATTTTAATTAAGCCTCTCAGAATTGCCTGAACCAAAAGATAGATGGTAAATAAACTTGATCAATAAAATAAATAAATAAATATCATTTATATGGCTGTCCATCACAAGTTCCTGACACTGAATGGCTAACAGTGCTAAATATATGTGTGTGTGTGTGTGTGTGTGTGTGTGTGTGTGTGTGTATTTTATTTGTGCTGATAAATAAATAAATAAAGGGAGACTAGTATAG